GCCCGACTGAAATTTATTCCTCAGGATCCCTACTGTGTCCTGCTGTGTGCTGGACTTCGCCTCTGCTCCCACCAAACGTTGAATAAAGGCCTATTTGACACAGCATCCTTATTCCTAAGGTGTGGGCACGTAATGTTTAGGGAGAGAGAGAAACGAGAGCAGCGGACCGTCCTGGGAGCAGAGTGGCGAGAAAGCAGAGAGCAGGGCTTCCCCGGAGGCCCAGCAGCTGAGGCCCCATGCGTCCACTCGGAGGCCGTGGGATCTGTTCTGTTTGGGGAAATGGGATCCCGCACGACGCACAGTGCAGGCCACAAAGTTAAAAAGTGAGATAGGTCAGATGCTATACTTAAGAGTAGTGATAATAAAAATAGAAGGCACGCACTGAGGAGATGGGTATTTCCAGGATGCTGTAAGCACCGAGGAATCCTAGGAAAGGCTGGGGAGGCTTCTCATAGCCAGGAGATGGGGTCTTCAGCCTTTTAATAAAGGGAAGGGAAGTCAGGAAGCCAGCGGAATTAGAAACACGTGGGTTGCACGTGCACTGCCGTTTCTCTCTGCAAGAGAAACGTCTCTGAAGATTTTTGCATCACTTGTTGCATTACTTAGAAAACAAAACAGGTTTTGCATGTAAGTAATTTAAAAGTCAAGTAAAGTTAGATAAAAAGATCTTCTGAAGCGGCATGAGAATACAATCAGAGGCTACAACACAGGCTGCGGTTTCTGAAATTTGGGGCTACCTCAAAAGAAATCCTTCAGCAGAAATAATAAAATAATACTTAAATACAGGTGCACTGGTTACATTTCTTGTCAAAAGAATGCATATTTTTAAAGCAGTGTCTAGTAAGTATTTTTATTTTTTTAATCTGACCTAGTGAATGCTCACCCACTGATTTGAACACTTCCCTGCCTTCTTTAAACTGATGTGAGGAACACAATTTAATGTTTACCCGGTCCTTTGAGCCATCACAATAACGTTAGCTGCCATACAGTGCTGGAGGCACTCTCCCCTTCCTTCACAAAAGGTCCCTTTGCTGTGGCGTTTGTGGGATGATCACGCTGTGTTTTCTCTAATTCCTGTTTCTCCCACTTGCTGTCAGTTGTCATCTCTCACTGCTGTTCAGGCAAAAAACTGTAGGAACAAACCTCATCTATTTATATTTTGTTGCCTTGAATATTTTGATGGCCGTGGCTCCAAAGAACCAACTCTTACAAGACAGGAAAATACAGTTGATCCTTGAACAACATGGGATTTTAGGGGTGCCAACCTCAGTGCAATCAAAAATCTGACTATAACTTTACAGTCAGGCCTCCATATCCGCGTTTCACATTCAAAGATTCAGCCCTCTGAGGACTGCAAGGTTCTATGGTAGGTATTTTGGGCTTCCCCGGTGGCACCGTGGGAAACAATCCAATGCAGGAGATGCAAGAGATGTGGGTTTGATCCCCGGATCGGGAAGATCCCCTGGAGAAGGAAATGGCAACCCACTCCAGTATTGTTGCCTGGGAAATCCCACGAACAGCGGAGCCTGGCAGGCCACAGCCCATGGGGCTGCAAAGAGTTGGACACAACTTAGAACTAAACAACAACAAATGGTAGGTATTTACTGAAAAAAAAAAAAATCTGTGTAAAAGTGTACCATGAAGCTGTTCTCGTTCAAACCTGTGTTGTTAATAAGAAAAACTGTAATAAGAAAAACTGGCTACAGTCTGTTTGAAACACTCTGGCTTTCTGATTTGAAAATTAATAAAGGGAAACCTCAGTAAAACGGAGTTGGGAGGCCAGGAGGGGGAGCTCTCACAAGCCACCACTGGATGTAACTACATTTAACCTCTTTGAAATGACCTTCTCTGAGGAACTGAAAGCCAGGAAGTCTTTTCTAATTATCCTCTAGATTTCCAGAGCCTGGGAAACTGCCTCAGAATTATCAGTTACAGAGAAGAATCATCACTGCTGAGAACCATCAAAAGAATACAGACAAAAAAAAAAGAATACAGACAGCCCCCCGCAAAGGAAAAGACGTTACATGGCCTCTCCCACGAGAAGTCACCAGCCCAGCAGATCGCCCGTGAGTGGCAGCCACTTCCCTCCTGTCACTTTTCTCCAGTGGATTTTTACTCAAAACAACCCTTCCCAACTTCCTTTTTCTCTCCACAATACTGTTGCCCTGCTTCATTAGCTGGACCTGTCGATGGCTTTTTTTTAAAGTCTTTATTGAATTTGTTACAATATTTCTTCCACTTTATGTTTCCTGGACTTTTGGCCACATGGCAGGTGGGGCTGTCCTTTCCTGACCAGGGAGGGAACCAGCATCCCTACCCTGGAAGGCAGAGTCTGAACCACTGAATCACCAGGGACGCGCCCTTGTCAATGGTTTTTACTGTAGCTTGTTTGTCTCAAAGTGCAATTCCTCTTCTATTCCCAAATAAACACACTTTTGCTGGTAAAATAACTTGTATTTTTAAGGTCAACACCAATTTTATATGTTTCATGAAGAGATATATTTACTTTCTGAAGCTAAAATGTTTTTACTTGTCATTCTAGTAAAATAGCTCTAAAGAANCATCATCTTGGTGGCACAGGGACTCAGTCTAGACCTGGCGTACCTGGGAGAAAGCTTGGAGATGCTTTCTTGGCTAGTCTTGGCTTTTTTTGCCAAGGCGTGAGAAGTGGGCAAAAGTAGGCAAGTGAATTTACTTTGTGGGCTTCCCTCATAGCTCAGTTGGTAAAGGATCCGCCTCCAATGCAGGAGACCCGGGTTCGATTCCTGGGTCGGGAAGATCTGCTAGAGAAGGGATAGGCCACCCACTCCAGTATTCTTGGGCTTTCCTGGTGGCTCAGCTGATAAAGAATCCACCTGCAAAGCAGGAGACCTGGGTTCAACCCCTGGGTTGGGAAGATCCCCTGGAGAAGGGAAAGGCTACTCACTCCAGTATTCTGGCCTGGAGAACTCCACGGACTATACAGTCCATGGGGTCGCAAAGAGTCGGACACAACTGAGTGATTTTTACTTCTTCCCTTAGGTTTGAACTATATCAAATTGTTGATATTGATAATTTTTAATCTAAAAGATGAAAATGTGATATGATTTAGCCTAATATTTTGAATGTGTTGAAATACAGATTTTCATATGGATCTCAGGGATTACTATGTCCTCTCACCTTTTCAATTATCAAGAAAATGTATAAACTATAATAAAACCAGACTGGGTTGGGATCAATTACATCTAAAATCCCTTTTGACATTAGATATTAGACATATACAGTGAGTTTGGCAGTTGCAGACATTCTGCTAGTCCCTGTAGAGAAAAAGATAAGTAAAATATGGCCCTTAAACTCAGGGTACACTATGAGAGATGAAAAAGTTAAATAAAAAGGTGAGTACAGTGTAATATGTGCAAGGGTACATTAGAGGTAGCACAGAGAAATGATCAATTCTTATTGAATGGGTCAAGGAAGATATTAAAGAGTAAAGATTTCTCCTTTGGGTTCTGAAGGATGAATAGGAGTTGACCAGTGAAACAGGGAGGGATAAGTGCATTTCAGGAAAAGGCAGCAGTATATATACAAAGCATGAAATAGAATAGTTCATTGGGGAAATTGTAAGTGTATTGTTAGTGTTAAAACCAAGAATGTGTATAGAAAACTAGTGGGGAACAAGATTGGAGAATAAGGTAGCAGTCAAATTATGGAAGGCCTTGTATTTCATTCTGATTAGTTTCCTTCATCCTATAATACAATAGAGAGTCATGGAAGCCCTTTAAATAGAGGAAGAGGTTCTGATTAACATTTTCAAAAGATTACTCTATACTGATGGAAGAGGAAAAACAAAAAGAGTAGAAAAAGATTAGAAAAAAACTACCAAAGAGTTAACAGTGGTTGCCTCTAGGTGGTAGAAAATTGTTTTCTCTTTCTTCTTATAGCAGAATGCAGTTAGCTGTTCTTTCAGAGAAGCAGTAACGCTGCAGTCATATAAGTAACTGTCACCCCAATACACTGATTCAGTACAGAGAACACTGACCACATTTGAGTCCATTCTTTTCTTTCCTCAACTTTGTTTACACAAAGCAGCTATGGTACAAACCTAGAGAGCATCATGCTACACACCGTGGAAAAGCCAAGTTAACAAATTACTGAGTTGTGTCAGCCCACAGACCTCATGAGAAAAGCCTGATGATCTGAAACCCTGGGAGGCCACATATAATATATTCCATGGATTTTGAAAGGAACCAATTGTGACTCTACATGAAGTCTGAACAAGTTTTGCATCTTACTTCACTATAGCGGCAATCGAGTTTCATCACATTTCTCTCTCCAGCTCACTTCAAATTCAACTAAACTCTAAGAAAAACAACACATTAACAATGCAAAGAAGGCTTCCACTCACCTACCTAAACTTTCTGAATAGATTGATGAACTCAAGCCCCTGGTTTATAGAAAATCTGGAGCCACCGACACCTTGCAAGGGCACAAGCAATAAATAGCAGAAGCAGAAGTATGCAAAGCAAAGCTTTGGTCAAATTGGTCTCTATAAATGAGATGAGCAAAGCAAGTGACCAGCACAAAGTCTGAGCGCTATTACATTTATGACAAATAGAAAGTCTTATGAGGAAAGAATGCCTGAAGCACTTCATTAGGCAAAAACTATTACTCCATGAAACCCATCTGCAAAATAAGCATAATTGTGGCAATGACCTAATAAGGTTATTGTAAGGAGTTGAACAAATAATACACAGGAAGTGCTTAGAAAGTTTTCTGGCACACAGTAAGCACACAATAATTTATACTGTCATCATCCTTATTATAGCTGGGGCAGAGAGTGCTCAATAAATTATAGTATTATTATCATTATTATATCTCATAACTTTGACTCTTTCCAACTATTCCAACTTATAAATCTCCAAGATGTTCTTATGTCAAATACTATTTACTCAATACTGTAATTAAATTAAAATGAAAAAATCATAATGTTTTGAGGGAAAAGATTAATAACACTCCTTTACCTCTTCATATCTGTCAAAAACTGCTCCTTCTTGCAAAAAGGAAGGAACTTCCTTCTGCCAATTAAATTCATAAGGTTTGGCCATGATTAGAGTCAAGACCTGAAAATGAAAAAGAATATATAATGAGTGTACACAATTAAAAAAAACAAGTGCAGAGCAAAGGTTAATCACTTGATAGTTATGTGTTTGCAAAAGCTTTGCTTCACACACATAGACTAAGTCTATTAATTGACTTTTGTGTTTTTTCCCTTATTCTCTTCATCTGACCCTGAATCCCCTTGGCCTGGTTGCTACACCTAAAGAAATAATATGAAGAAATAACAGAGGTGATCATTTGGGAGGCTTCCCCCTTCCTCTTCAAATCCTATAATGTAATTTTATACATAAAATCTGAAGTTTTTGGATGGAAAACACACACACACCTAAACCTATACATAGGATAGGTAGGGTGCAAAGAGTGAGTGGTTCTACAAGCCTGCACTAGACTGTTATTCCCTCTTTCCCCATATCTTTTACCTGCTTTCTTTATATTTCTTTATTCTATTTTTTCCCTCTTATCATTTGCAAGTTCTATTTTTCATTTTAAATTTTCTATTAGGAAAATTCTTAAATTTTTAACACTCATAGATCTTCTATTCTGCCAATATCTGGAATTTAAAATATCCCACACCCTAAAATGTTTTTTAATTCCCTTCATTCCATATATCCTTCCCTCCAGCACCTCCTATATAGATATAATCTAGGATTTTGATGCTAGATTAAAACTTCCTTATCGTTTTCTTTTCTTTTTTCCCTTTTGTGGAGAATGGAAACAAGGTTCAAAGACCACCTAATAGAAGGATTTAAACATTTCTGAAATCTGACATTTGTGTCCTCAATATGAAAAAAATTGAGCGATGCAGGCGGTATAAAGGATAGTGGAAGATACACACAACTAAATATATCTTGAGGTGAAAATAATCTGGAAGATTCAATGTACTATATATTCTGTCAAGAAGAAAAAAAACTTAGAAATAGGAGATATGGGAAGTAAGGTTGGAAGGGAGAAAGAAAGAAGAAAGTTTAAAAAACGGGAGTTTACTCTTGAGTCTTATGTCTTATACAAAAAGAAAAAACGAAACTATAAGAAAAAGATAAAGAAATTACAATGGAGCATCCAAACCTCAGATTACATTGATACAAGAGGTGCTAGAGGGAAGGAAATGCGGAACAAAGGGCGACAGAAGTATTTTAGGGTGTGAAATAGAGGCAGTTAAAATTCTAGATATTAGCAGAAAAATAGAAGATCAACTATGAGTGTTGAAAATTTAAGAATTTTCCTAACAGAAAATTTAAAATGTAAAGTATGACTTTCAAGTTATTAAGAGGGAAAAACAGAACAAAGAAATGTGAGTCTCCATTAAAAAGATAAAAAATGCGGGAAAGGAAGGGGGGGAAACGACACACAATAACCAGGAAACACAAAGGAAAATGACAGCACATTACTAATTCTAATCACACGAACATGCTGAATTCACTTATAAAAGAAAGAGGCTTTCAAATTAGGAAGCATCATAGTCATTTACCAGAAATATTTATGAAATGAAAGCTATATAGGAATTTAAAAATGAAGGAAGGAAAGGAAGATATAACAGACAAAGTTTAAGAAGGGAACAGCTGTAACAATATTAGACAAAATACACTTCAAGGAAAAAAAGAGAGACAATAAGTAGTCACATGAAGAGAAGGGGTGATAAAAATTACTTAAAAGTTATTCGTATTAAACATGTGACCACAGCGCATCAATATATCTATTGAAAAGCTGAAAATACAAAGAAAAAAATGGCAAAGTCACAAACAGATAACAGTTCTCAGAAATTAATGGAAGACTATTGAGGATCTGGCTATCACATATAGAAATTTAACAAAACAACTTAAATGACTCAGTCAGTCAGTTCAGTCGCGCAGCCAGGTCCAACTCTTTGCAACCCCGGGGACCGAACCACGCCTGTCCATCACCAACTGTTGGAGTTTATTCAAACTCATGTCCATTGAGTCGGTGATACCAACCAAACATTTCATCCTCTGTTGTCCCCTTCTCCTCCCACCTTCAGTCTTTCCCAGCATCAGGGTCTTTGCAAATGAGTCAGTTCTTCACATCAGGTGGCCAAAGTATTACAGCTTTAATTCAGCTTCATCATCAGTCCTTCCAATGAATACCCAGGACTGATGGATTGATTTCCTTTAGGATGGACTGGCTGGATCTCCTTGCTGTCCAAGGGACTCTCAAGAGTCTTCTCCAACACCACAGTTCAGAAGCACCAAATCTTCAGCTCTCAGCTTTATTTTTACTCCAATTCTCACATC